AAGATAAATTGAAGGAAATATTGGTTGGCTCTACAACATTCAAGACCCTGTAATTTATCAGGAGTGCAACTTTTGTCTAAGGTATATTTAGTTCATTCGCCTTATTTTTCATCTAGATGCACTGGTAGCGTTTGTGCTACTCTATTCAAAATCACCCTGTATAGACTATCACGCTCATCTCAAAAAGTAAAAACGTTACCTATTTGTATTTATCACACCGGCTATGCATATGAATTATGTTTTTTTCCATAAGTAGCTTAAAAATTTCTTTTTCTACGTTCATGCAATAAACACAACTTTATTGAACTATATTTACTAGAAAAAGTGGATCTTTATTGCACTAGTGCAATAAATATTTATTGCACTCATCTGTCATTATAGTACAGCGGTTTGTGATCAAGACAAACATAAATATTCAAATGAGCGAAATATTTTGTCCTTTTTCTGTGAGATTGTAATACGTTTCAAAGAATTGCGGATTTTATTTTATTATCAATCATATTTATTAGGTATGTACTGGATTACGAAATTACTAGAAAATGCATTTTTTTCTAAAATGCCATATGATTACAATTTATAAACACAAACGTAAATGCCTCAAACATACGCGATCACGACTACTATGATTTGGATAATGCAACTCTGCACTTCTAGAAATGTCAGTCAAAAATTAATTTTGACATTTAAACAAAGTTTAAAAATGAGTGATATTATTGGAAAAATAGATGATAGTGATGAAGAAGAATTTGTTAGGACCCCACCAGAAGTTAGTGAAATAGCAAATACAGCGTCATTAAACTTATTACCTAGCAAATCAAGAAAACTATATGAAAAAAGTTATAATCGTTTTAAAGAGTGGTGCTTTTTTATTTTTCTACACCTAAATAAAACATTTTTTTTCATGAACGTAGAAAAACATTTTTTTTCACGAACGTAGAAAAAATATTGTATGCAACTCGTGCAAAAAGTGTTTATTGCACTCGACGTGTTGTCAAACTCGGCCTAACGGCCTCGTTGGACAAATTCACGTCGCGTGCAATAAACACTTACTTTTTGCACTTGTTGCATAAATAACTATTGTAGTCACGGTCTACTTCATCCTTTTATTAATGTATCAAAATATAAAGAGCCATACCAACCTATTTTTTTTTAAATAAATATGACAAATTATATATTTTTGTATTGAGCCATTGTCCACTATGGTTTTCATTAAAAAAGTTTTGCTTTAATCAGCAAATAGAAGATCGTTACAAGTTATCTATTAAAAGGTCAATGTTTTAAAAAGTCCAACTGTAGCCGCTACATGCAACTCAATTTATAAAATTTATTTTTTTTGGCTTTAATTCCAAAACTGAAAAACATATCGAAAATCTATTTGGATCTGAAAGTTTCACTAAAAAAACTGCAACTTGCTATTTTTATAATAACAGAGATACCTACTCTAGCACGACAGCGAATATGGGATGCACATTATTCTATGTACTACTCGTATGTAAATTCCATAGATTAAAAAAACATAAATATCTAACCTGGTATTATTATAACATCTGATGTACATATCGATGAGCATTCTCTTTGTCTCCTAACGTAACATCCGCTTACGTCACATGTTCTTGGATATACCACAATGCAACATTTGTCATTTACTACAGGAGTGACTGAGGAATTGCTTGCACTAGGATATATAAATATTTTATTTTCATTTGTGCTGTTAATGTGAATAGGAATGGATATATTATTTACTGTATTAATAGTATTCGTCAGAGTTATATCTGCTGTAAAATTGTAATAGTTATTATTGGTATTATTTGTTGAAGAACTGGGTTGTTGGGATATTTGTGCAGGCGGAAAAGGCACTAAGACTGGTGCTGGTTCGGTATCATTCGATTCGCAATTTCTGGATGAGCATTCTTTGCAACTGTTACCACAGTTCTGACAGTTGTTGCAATTCGACTGGCAGTTGTTACAATTCGACTGGCAGTTATTACAGTTGGAGGTACATTCATTACAGCAGGAATTACATTGTCGTTTCACGATAGACTTTCCAATCACAAAGTCGTACAAGATGAATATTAGAATAATCACAAGTAGCAGCTTCATCTAAAAAAATGTTTTTAATTAAGGTGGTTTATCTGATTTGGAATTGCCGAACAAATATTCATAAAAAAATTAATATAAGATTATTAATATGAAGAAAATCCTCAAACAAAATTATAACCAGTTTGGATACCTAAGAGACGAGATATTAATAAAATAATTTTTCACGATTTAGTACCGTCTTATGAGAATGCAGATTTTTTTGGTCTTTCCACTTAGAATACGCAACAATTGACGAACAGTTTCCACAGCAACTTATATAAATAGGAAACCGATATCTAAGGAACCGTATGACAGCTTGTAGAAATCGATTAGGTACTTGTAAGATACATAATTTATAATAATTCTCCTTCAAACTGCTGTCGTCGACTAACTTATCCTCCATATGTGTGATAGCGGTCTCGACGTAGAGTATTATTTGAAATTCGCAGGTGTCTAAACAAACAGAATGATCGAACGGGAGCGAGCGAACGCCGAGCCGAGCGCGCCAGCCAAGTGCAACGTTGCCAAATCTAAAGGCTTACTACTTTAGTCACTAGCGAATCTACAGAAACTTTCGTTAGACTTTAGACGTACCTCCGTACCCCATAAACCTCCTTAAATAACAATGGTCCTATTTCTTGAAAAATCGATGAAAACGTTTTTTTATTTAATTGTCTAAATACGACAATTTTTTGAAATTTTTATATTAACATCTAATATCATAAAAAAAATATGTCTTAAGAAGATCAGTA